GTTTGGGTTTGGGTTTGGGTTTGGGTTTGGGTTTGGGTTTGTTCTATTCTGTGCCCGGGCTGCGGCGGTGTTGCTTTTGGGGTACAGGGCTCCGCGGAGCTGCCCCGGGCACCGCAGTGCTGAGGGAGGCCTTCCCTTCCCATCCCGCTGGCTTGCGGGGAGCTGCGCTCCCAGCCGCTCCTCAAAACTGATGGTCGTCAGGCGGTGGGATGGGGGAAGTTGCAGGGCAGGTCAGAAAAAGGAGGCTTTGAAAAGTACAGGAATTGTACTGGAAAGTGAGCCTAAGCGACTTGAAAGCACTGTATCAGAGGAGCACAGGCAGCTGAACATGAGCCAGCTTGAAGGCCAGCGGCATCCAGGCCTGTATCAGCAATAGCCAGCAGGAGGAAGGCAGTGATTGCCCTTCTGTACTCAGCACTACTGTCTGGGCTCSGTTTTGGGGCACTCACTTTAAAAAGGACATTGAAGTGCTGGAGTGTATGCAGGGAAATGCAGTAAAGCTGGTGAAGCATCTGGAGCACAAGTCTGATGAGGAGTGGTGAGGGAGCTGGGGATGTTTAATCTGGAGAAAAGGAGGTCCAAGGAAGATTTTATTGCTCTCTACGTCTACCTAAGAGGAGGTTGGGGTGAGGTGGGGGCTGATCTCCCAAGTAACAAGTGATGGGACAAAAGGAAAGTTGTGGCAGGAACGGTTTAGTTTGGATATGAAGCAAATAATCTTGAGTGCCTTCACGGCCTTACGCAGCATGTACAGGTAATCAGGCCCAGCCAGCATGGGTTTAGTCCTGACTTACTGACCTGATTTTCTGTGACAGGGTGACCCACTTAGTGGATGAGGTAAATGCTGTGGATGTGTCTACCTGAGCTTTAGTAAAGCCTTTGACATCATTTTTTGCAGCRTTCTGGAGAAACTGGCTGCCCATGGCTTGGACAGGTGTGCTCTTTGCTGGGTAAAAAACTGTCCAGATGGTTGGGCCCAGAGAGTGTTGGTGTATAGAGTTATATCCAGCTCATCTCCAGGGCTCAGTGTTGGGGTCAGGCCTGTTTAATACTTCCATCGATAATCTGACTGAGGAGACCAAGAGCACCCTCAGTTTGCAGATGCACCAAGTCGGGTGGGAGTGTTGATCTGCTGAAGGGCAGTAAGGTTCTGCAGAGGGGACTGGACAGGCTGGATCAATGAGGTGAGGCCAATGGCACGRGGCTCAACAAGGCCAAGTTAGGACCCTACACTTGGGTTGCAACAACCTCTGCAGTGCTACAGGCTGGGGGAAGAGCAGCTGGAAAATTGCCTGGTGGAAAAAGACCTGGGGGAGTTGTTGAACTGCTGAACGTGAGCCAGCATGTGCTCAGGTGGGCATCAGTCTCTTGCCAAGTAAGAAGAACTAGATCAGGGAAAATGGCCCCAAATGGCACCAAATGGCATTTAGATTGGATATGGGTAAGAATTTCTTCTTCAGCAGGTTTGTTAAGCACTGGAACAGGCTGCCAGGGGCAGTGATGGAGTCACCATCCCTGGAGGTATTCAAAAGATGGGTAGCAAGGTGTTTAAAAGAGATTTGGCTTAGGGTCATGGTTTAGTGGTGGACTTGGCAGTGCTGTATTAACAGTTGGACTCGATCTTAAAGTCTTTTCCAATCTAAATGATTCTATGGTTCTATGAAAGAAAAAATGAAAGCGTGACAGAAATAGGATAATACGGGGTTTAAGAGAAGGCTGAAGAGCAGAGTGATTTGGGCAGGAGAAAGGTGGGAAGGTGCAGAAGAAAGAAGGGAAGTGTAGAATACGTAGGTGAGAAAAGGAAACCTACATTCAGAATTAAAGAAAAAAACAACTTATTTTCTTTCCCTTCTTCTAACCATCTCTTCTACCACAGAGATGTTCCTTGTGGGGAAGAAGAGGAGCTGTGTCTGCACCACTTCAAAGATTATTGGACACTGAGGCCATGTCCTTTTCCAGTTTCATCCTGTGATGCACAACTGTCTCCATCTTCAAGAGCTCTCTTGCATGTGCTCTGCCAGGACATCCCCATCTCACCTGCACTCAGCACAGCTTGCTGCCATAGCCCTTTGCTGGAAAAAGGGGTGACAGGGATCCCTTAGCCACTGCTGGAAAAGAAATTGTGGGCAAGCATTGACACAGGCTCTGGGAAGTGGCAGTAAGAGAAAGGAGAAAATGGCGTTAAGCTAAGCATTTAGCTTAGCTGATGTTTTTTGCTGTCATGCATGTGTGATAATAAGTCCAAAAGCACCAAAAGTGGCAAAAAAGAATCAGTGAGCAGGGAGCAGATAGAGTGAAAATGGAATGCCTGGCAAATGTCCCTGTTTCTTTACGTACACCTAGGGCTGAAATTTGAACTGTGTAGGTATAGACAGTATGCTAACAATTAGGAATATATTTTAAATGTATGTGCAGTTTTCTRGAAACCTGTTTCTGCAGCTCACTGCGAAGTGACAGCTAAGGAAGCAGACATCCTGAATATTTGACACTTTTTTCCAGCGTAGCCAAGCAATAAAAAGAAGTTAAAAGTTTAGGYTCTTTTTGAACTCAGATTTCATGAAAATAAATGTGAATTAAAATTAGTGATTCTGAACATAAGCACAGTTTTGTGAATACAGTAAATGCATCTTGGCAAATGAAATTTATGGTGATAAAACAGGCAGACTGGCTCAAAGTAATTTCAGAACATTTATGATACAATACTTTCCTTCAGTCATATGTTCCACTTGGAAGTTCTGTATCTGAAATAACTGTTCCAGTGCTTCAGGATACTTCATTTAAAAGTMATTGACAATTTCAACAGGAACTGAAGTTTAAAAATAAACATACTTATTCTTCACCTTTATGTACCTACTAAAGCTGAAGTGGTTTGCAGTTACAGAACTTACACAGTGAATTCAAAGGTGAATTTTCCACGTGGTGTTATATAATTACAAATCCTTTTGAATTTACGCAAGTCCAACTGTTGCATAGGCAAAATTATTACTGTAGTCACTGTATGTATTGCCTTTCTGAATCACAAATGTGGCATAATTAGCATATGATGGTTCTTGGTCTATTACATGCCACTTGGAGAGACACAAAATATTCTTTCCAATGTACAAATGTGTTTGTGCCTTTACCAACTGTTTTCGTTTAAAAATAAAATGCTACAGTGGATTTATCTGTTACTAGTGAAAGAGASATCTGATAACATTATAAACGTCATGTATAGGCTGTTTTCAGTGTTCACAGAAAAGATCAGTCATTTCTAATAGAGTGTATTAATTTTCCTCGAGYCTTACTTCATGATAGACTCTAGAAACTTTCTAGCAATGATAATAAATGTCAATCTGGAATATCGAGTTTTAAAACAACATTGGGAAAAATAATTCATTGTGGCTAGTTGAAGAAAATATTTTTGTGGTGTAGCACCTCAACATCTCAGCTTATAATACTGATTAGTACTGTTTTTTGAATATTTTTCAGGAAAGTGTGTCAGTGATCTCMATTTTATTTATCTCAAAAGCTTTACAAAGCTTTTGTGAAGGAGTTTTTCTTGAAAGCAAAGTAATAGAATGAGTTTCTGCTTAGAATTAAAAATAAACAGACCTTAGTCTGCGATAAACAATACCATAGGAAAAAATGAAACCTGTGATACCTGATGAAGATAATACTTTCCCTTTTTAAAACCTACAGTGGACAAAGCTGCTGTTTTAAAGATTGCATTGGTAATGATTTARGAGTGTAATAGTGTATTATCAGATAGATTAAACTGAAGACTATACCTAYCTGATTAAGAATTTTATGATGTATAGTAGTCATGTGCACTTCTTAGTAGTTTGAGCTAATAAACTGGCTAAAAAAATCCATTGATGCAACGCCCACATGAATTGTTTTGTATTTAGCAATATTGTATATTTTCAGTATTAATAAAGGTGTTTGCACAGCAATGCTTTTGCCATTTATCAGTGCAAGTGGAAATACCAGTCCATGATCATAAAGGGATGAGCCACTGCCTTCTGTGGTGCTGTGGACTGGAGCCTTTATGGGGAGAGCAGCAGCAGCAGCAGTGTCTATAATACTTCCCACCCTCCTATAATCCGTGAAGTTTTAGAACATTAATCGTTACCTTGCTATTCCCTCTTGTGCGTTCATCTGTGTGGAAGAATTTTACATCACTTTCAAAGAAAATCCACTCGCATTAAGTAGTAATGCAGTAAGGTACTACTGCATAGTTTGCTTTAAACCAGGCAGAGAATCATTTAGGTTAGTGTTGGTTTAGGTAGTTAAGTTTGAAGTACTTCAGCAACCTTTGAGGACACTGTTATTTAAAGATGATGAAGCTACTTAAATCCGCTGCACTAGAGCACAGACTCAAAAAAGTTGGGGAACTTGGACAATACCAAACACAATCRTTGAAAAACCTCTTAGTACCAGACTTCTGCTTCCTACAGATTAGGCCTCCTGCTGACTATTTGTACTTTTTAAATGTATAAGAGATTTAAGCTTCAATGTCTG